AACCTAAACTCAGAATCACGAAWTATGAATACACAGGAACCCCGAGATCACGCGACTAATAACACGTTTTAATCTTTGAACCCAATCACGAGGTACTAACCCCGCTTGGATCAATCCGGTCCTTATCCCATCATATCAAATTATATTCTTCTGTTAAAAATGAACATATATAAGCTGCTGAATAATAATAATAACTATAATCATCATCATCATCATCATCATCACACAAGCACGTTTTTCCATTTTTTTCCACGTTTAAAATCCTTTATTTTCACTTTTTAATGTTTTGAATAATAAATGCATTACAAAATAATATAAATAGATAAATAGATAACATTTTTTTTGACATTTTCCCCTTGAAATCGAAAAATATATATATACACAAAGCACAAGAATCAGTCCTAATTTTAAATATTATCTATCATGTTTTACATTAATATATTTACTTTCCCGCGGGAACTGAAATTCTATCTTTTTTTTCTAAAAATTATCCAATTAGATTATAATTATTAAAAAARCAGTGGAACCTCTCTCTTACAAACTCCAAGCAAATTGTAATGGGCTGCCTGAGTGTCCGGAAAAAAWTTCAATGTCCGATGTTCATGTTATAAAAGTGCCCGTAATAAAGAGCTGCCCGTAGTACGGAGGTTCCAATTATATAGAGTTCTCCAAAGGTCTCCAGTAAATGSWCGTAATATTGAGGTAGGTTCGGTCTATAAGGAGAAGTTCCACCGTATTTGACATCCATATTGGACTTCGATTCTTGTGCTGAATAATAAAAGCTGTACAAAATCTGAACCTTAAAAATATTACATACAAGAATATCGTTATGCTTGTATATACACTTATATACACTTTAAGTAGCCAGTTTAACCTTTTCGGAGAAGTTCCGACGCCATCTTTAGGGGTGCCATCAGAATGGGTATCACAAACCCGTGAAACGAAGACTTGGGAGAGATAAATGCGTGAATAAATTAATTGACTGTACTTCAGATTCGTTACACTTAATCTGTGAAATACTACCTAAATGTGTAAATATTTAAAACTACAGTTGAGGCAAAGGAAAACATTCAAAGAGTGGTTTTCATATACACTTCAGCGTCCTATACTTTATGACTCTTCATTTTGCACTTTTTTCTTTGTCTTTTCGTCGGTATATCACATATGATTACAATTTGCTCCTTAGGTTAATGAGGCACTCTATCTCAGAGTATATTACAGTTTAAGTGTAACGACTCGAAATCACAAACAGGAACCAAAGCCAGCGCAACCGCTATTCACGGGTTAATGAAATCTACTCTAAAAGCACATTTTCTAAGAAAAGTCAAACTATCAATCGAAAAATAGCTCCATATGGGTCTYACTTTTACTATCTTAAGTCATCTTGAAAATCTCCGTTTTTACCCACAGTCCTTTGCCAACCTTGTAGTCATCACTCTTGATCACGTGGTGCGTGACAACATTCAAAAAATAAAAATTCAACTTCCATGCACTGTTATTAWATAAATAGAATCCACGTTCTTCCACAACTTCYAGTCCAGAGAAACCTTGTACTTGACGTATCAAAGTGYTCATGMGCCTGAGRATTTTCTTGTTRAACGTCCTTTTTAATGCTTTTTTCTTTAACCTTTAAGCATATTTCCTTTTTGGTTCGCTAATCGGTCGGCTGTAGATTCCACCTTCGGGTAGCAAACCAGTTGAAGTCCAAGGATCAAKATAAAACTCGCGATTACAAAATACGTCTTCGGTTTTACACTTTTTTCCGTTGACCAGTTCCATGAGCTTGGCATGAAGAGCTGTGAAAAGCACGATGGAGCCRCAGACGATCCCAATCTCCAGTGCAAGGACCATTCTGTTATGTAATTAATATTCACTGGTATTCAATTTCTGTTTGTATTTAGGCTGAAAGCTTAATGAAACGACTTCAAAGAATAGAATTTTGATCTAACCGGSSTTGTACACGCGGAACATTTTATATACTACACGCTTAGTGGGCGATATTCCAAATATTGAAGCCCAACTAACCAATGAACTTCAAGGGGKCGATGATTTCCATAAAACGTCGTAAACAAGGTTTTTTACAACTTCTGGTTTTGAAACAAACAGGTATTTAGCCGCAATTTGACCATAAAATTGGGATTTCATCAAGAAATACTTCGTTTTTTTATTATAAGAATGATGAAAATGCTTTAAGAACTTATAACATTTTGGCTTAAATTGTAATGCTGGTGTTTTGTTGCCCTGTTGTTTGACAACAAAGGMGTGTTGATGGTGTGTCCGAAGGCTTGGCGGATTTAATCTAATATATGTACCAAGAAAAAAAAAACATGACAATAATAAAAACGAAAAAGATTTCAAACTAAAAGCCGACCTTAAGTTTCTTTTTCTGGTTAAAAAGTTCATAGTATTTCAATATAAAGTTCCTCTTGTATCGACGCTTGGCGTCATTGGAGCACGACGCGATGTTAATTAATGACATTTTCTGGCAAAACGACGGTTTACTCCATAGAAAGCTTCCTTCAAAGACAATGCAACGAAAGATGGAAACATTTGCAAAAACAAGAGATGTTRGCATTGTATTGTTGATAGAATCGGCGTCCATTGATCGGCGTTTGGATGAATACAAAAATTGTCGAGAGTTAGGTTAATGACTACTTCATTTAAACTAAATCATTATGTTATTAAAGCGTTAGTTTTAGTTAAGTTGAAAGTCAGAACTTCTAGAGTTGTTCTTTTCGTTTTATCTGTAACTTTCTTGTTTTCAGCTTYATTTCTCATTTATTGTGTTGGTTTTTCTTCTTTGCGTTTTATTTCTTCTTCTTCGTCTTCTTGTTTGTTTAATAATAACTCTTTCTCTTCCTCCTGTCATCTATTCTGACCAGGTTGTTGTTCTTCTCATGGACCCGAAGTTCCTTCGTCTTGCACATTCTTCATGGCTTTGTTTTCTCTTCATTGTCTTATTCTTACCATATTTTTTTTCTTCAGTATTTTTAAATTATTCTCTATTCGAGAAAGAAAGTTGTTTTTGAGAATGAATTCAGTTCTTACTTTCTTAACAGTTAAAAATAAAAATTTTGAAAAAAATAACACAGTTTGATCAATAAGTTTTATTCCATATTGAATATTGTGCGGCAAGTGCTTCACATAAAAAATGTCTAATAGCAAAACATAATTCTGTAAAATAATTGGCAAAAATGCCGCTAAACGACCAYGCGCGCTTTCATTACACGTGAAAAATGCAGAAAAAAATCATAAAGCACTACTTTGTTACATTTGTTTACATTTTAGCTTTCTATTATTTTCCGTCGAATACAACTGCTTTACAAAATATTATTTGAATACAAACTAAACATCATTGAAGTCGTTGTTGTGGATATATAATTTTCTAAGTACAACTTTGATAATTGTCAAGAAAATATAATTCTTTGCTATMACTTGTGGATTGGAATAAAGTGTTTATGCGGAGAAAAATCTATTTTTCTCAGGTGTTGTTGTGTTGCTTTGATGCATGGATGCAGTATACTTGCGTTGTGTTGTTTTTGGCTTTAACTATCGCGTTGTGTCTCTCAATTTCCAAGCCGGACGCATAAAYGTTTCRGCYYACAAARTAGTCCATTATTCCGTCTTAGCCTTGTCTTGYTCAGCTTTTTTCGCTTGCTTTGCTTTCTTCTGCTTTCTTGCTTCCTCTTTCTCCATGTTGACCTCGGAATCTCTCACCATCTTCTTCAGAAACGTAAGATAAACGTATCCAAACATCAGGACCGAGCCAACCATGATACCAGCTTCCATWGCAACCATCTTGAATTATCCTTGAAAACGCTTTCGCAGTTAAAAGAAATGACGATTTATTCTCACAGAGATGTCACTGCAAAGTTGWATTGCTTGTAATACAAGGGCTTACGAGCTTTACCACTTAATAAACTTCTCGACAACAACAACCTGCTTATAGTGGATGATGCAGTCAAGTTTGAATTCATAGGTAACCACAAATTTGCAAAACCTTGYTGCTTTTGACCGCATTTTGTAAAATATTTTGGACTTTGAAAGCGCGTCTTTTTGATGTATACCGGAGTGAAAAGGGAAAATTGAAATGCTCTTCTCATTACTTACCGAAACTTGTGTTAAGTTTATATTTCCTAAGTAAATGTAATTGGAATTCTGTTGTCATAACCAAAAAATTAAAGTGTCTGRATACTGAAACAACAACTTTGACATATTGCGGTAAAAACTACGTGACGAAAACATTGAATGCCTACTCGCAACTYGCTCAAAATATATAAAAAAAATATTTCACTCATTCCTTATTATTTTAATGAAATCCTAACTTCCAAAATGATAATATTTTTCCAACCGTTTTCGCAACAGAAATCTTTACTTAGAACATGCAATTCATTATAAAATTGGAAGGGGATTTCCCAAGCTTCTCGCTTTTGTAAACAATTCTGACTGCTAGTCCACTTTTTTATAACTTGATTGTCAGGTTCAAACCTGTTTATAAACAGGTTTATAGTGTGCGCGATAGAACGTAAARTGACTACCTGTTGTCTGTAGTAAGCAAGTACTTCAAGATGTACTGAACAAATTCAAATTGATAACAATGGTTAAAAAATATCTGTAGTTCTAAATACTGTAGTTTTTATTGTTTTGCCTAAATAATTCCAAACAAAACAAAAAAAACTCATTTCACGACCGTATCCTTACATTTTGTATTTTGTAGAAAAGTATGTTACAGTTCCACCAAAAGTACTACACAATGATGACTAAGTTTKAAGTACTGTACATTGCCGATATGATTCAGCATCATTTAATAAAGGTCTATACATTACTTACACACATAAAACAATACAATACACTGAGAATAAGCACAGCAATCCAACCTTCTAACCTACCTTACTAACTGACTCATAAAAACATTTCAAAATTCTGTATTCAAATGATATATTTACAACTCTAAAATGCTGACTTCAGTAAATCTGTCTCCAAGGTAACCGCAATTTTTTATTGTCTCCAAGGTAACCACAAATCGATCAAACATCGTCGTCTTCGGGTTCTTCTCGGAGACCGAGGTCCTCGAGTATCTTTTTCTCCATTTCCAGGTATTCCTGGTAGGCCTACACGAAAACAAATGACTTTCAACGCTATTTGCGCATTAAAATTCAATAGTTTTCTRTCCTTGGAGCTAGAGAATKAATGATTGACAGCTGTCAATCAATGTACATACCATACGTTGCTTGGCCTCAATGTCGGCATCAGTTTCATCGATTTTCTTCTCTTGCTGTTTTTTTGTTTCGAGAGCATCGCGCTCTTTTTTCTCAGTATCTCGGATCTTTTTTCGTTCTTCTACGAAAGCTAGTCGCTTGACTTCACGCTCGAAGAAATTCTCCATCACGTTAGCCTGCAGAC